TAAGAATAATAATAATAATAATAATAATAGTAATAGCTGCCTAGTTGTGGTGGTTGGATTCACATCCCCAGCATAGCCCTCCCGGCCCTCTGTGCTGTCCTTTCAAGCGCTCTTTCTCTGACACGGCTGGATTGTGGGTGGCCATTTTGCATGGCAACACTGCTGGCTCCCCTGTCCTCGTCCATCTTGCTCCCCACAGTTGCACAATGAGGCCAGCAGGACAGTCTTGAGCCTTTTAGGGGTTCCGCAGCTTGAAAAGTCTGCTGGGACAGCTCAGTTCTTCACTCCACAGGCTCCTGGGGAGAGCTCGCCAGGTAACACCTCCCAGCGCTCCTTTGAGCCTGGCTGGAGAGATGAAACGATGACCTCTTGGCTACCCCTCAGCCCACCCCCCCACCCCGCTTTGGCTCGCTTGCAACCCGACGACTCCTGCCGCCTTCCCCGGAGAGCGGGGGAGGCTGCCCCCCCCAGTCCTCTTTCCCACTGGGAAGGATATATTCCCCCCTGATCCTCCCCATCCTCCTCCTTCCCAGCAGTGAGCAAGTTTGCCTGTTCCAGCCATGCCCTTTCCAGGCCCACGAGACTGAAAGGCCGAATATCCAGGGTATGATTGAAGCCAACAGGAAGTGGCTGGAAGGTTTCAAGCAGGATTCCAAAATGTATCCTTTTTTAGTGGGTTCTCACAGAGCAGGATCTCTGTAGGGTTAGCAAGGAAGAGGGGGGCAGGCATCGCGAAGGGCGTCTGCTCTGCTGGGACAAAAGCCGGCGGTCCCTGTGTGGCAGTTTGGGAGAGGAGAGGACTGAACACACACACACACACACACCCCCGGGGGTGGTGGTGGTACCAGATCTGTTCAGGAGAGGCCGCGCGAAGCTCTTCTTCCCAGGGCAGCTTAAAGGCACGTGCTGGATGTGACTCACGGAGGGGGTGGGGGTGGGGGTGGCGTTGGGGAAAGAGAGAGCAAGAGAGCAAAAGGGTGTGGTCCGCCCTCTGCCCTGAACGTGGTGTGCAGTGCCGCAGTGTCATGTGCCGCCTTGGCTGAGCGTCCATGCGGCATGGCTCAGGGGTGGCATCTTCCATTCCTGTGTTAGACTGGCACCCAGGAGCTCCCCTGCCAGGCTCTTCGGGTTTTCCTTCACCCAAGCGTCCAGTCCTCTCTTGCCAAGCTCACCACCAAAGACAGCAGCGAGCCTCCCTGGCCCGGTGCAGCTTGGCTTGGATGACAGCAACCAGATCAAGGTCTTCCACTTCTGAACCGTGGAGGGAGGGAGGGAGGGAGGGAGGGAGGTGGACTGGAGAGTTTCCGCCCTCCCTGCAGTCCTCAGCCGCTCCCTCCTAGCAGCCAAGTCTTGATGACGATGATGACGCTGCTGCTGCTGCTGCTGCTGTTGTTGTTGAGAATACACGGCATTGCCTCTGAGCCCAGCAGCCTCTGTGCATGCTTTGGTTTTGCCCCCAGGGGCCCCTCCTACCTCCCCTCTGCGGCATGGTGCAAAAGCACAGGGCAGGCGGCGTGTGATCTGACGGCTGTGCCAGTCAGCAGCACTTCAGAGACCTGGCCGGACCAGGGAGTGAGGGATGGGGTGAGTTCCAGGTGGAGGGCACCGGTTGGCACAGCCAGCAGAACAGCTGACGAAAACAAACGGTTCGAGGCTTGCGAGTGCTCGGCCTGGGTTGCCTCCTCGCCAGACCCTGAGTGCAGAGTCCAGGTTTTGAATATCCGAGGGCAGAGTGTCCTGTCAGTCTGCCCAGAGACCAGCTACCTCAGAAGGAGCATCTGGGGCAGAAACCACCATGGGGGGGGGGGGGGGCCGGGGGGGCTGATGGGGGGTT